AATCGGCTGCAGGCCGAGTCCACGTGCGGCATTTAAATATTCGTGTTCTAACAGGGCATACACAGCCGCACGATTTATCGATCGTCTACTGCAGCGGTTGGCAGCAAGCCACGTTTACGGTTATTGTTTTTGCCGAAGGGTAGACTGGTATCCGCCCTCACGCTCTGCTAGACAATGTACACGCTCTGCGACAAACAGTGCGGCGCGAACCAGTCTAGCCAGAGGCACCGACAGCAATTACAGAAAAGGGCAAGGCAGGTCACTGCCGTGTCGGTTGGATTTTCAGGGCAGTACGGCGATTGATAGGGGCACCGACGCAATTGCCGTCGGTTAATTCGAGCCCTGATCTCAGAGCTTCTAAAATTCAAAAATTTTGGAACCCCGGACCCCTAGCTGGGAGTACCACCCCCATGCTATCATTTAAAGCTTGGTGACCCTGCTATGGTGTCATTGACATTGTCTGATTTGTCACTTGTGACACTGTCAGTGTCACAGGCACTTGAAGCGTTTCAATAAAATATAATGCTAACTAAATACGAAATCTATTTACTACCAAATTCTTAATGTGTCTATACTCCTCTTCACCTATTATTGCCGACAGTTTCCCGTAAATTCCGTCCAAATCCTACGTCCAACCATACGCTGCGCGCGCCATTGCTTTCGCGGCGCGACTGTTGCACGCTTACACTAATATATATATATATATATATATATATATAATATATTTATTATTATTATATATTATTTTTATTTATTTGTGTTATACCGGTAACTTATATATATTAATTATTAGGCCATGAGAATGAAAAATCCGTTTACCGTCCAACCGCCCGCATGCCGCCTTTAGTCCCCGCCCAAAAAAGTCATTATTTACCAAAATTTCATTATTTGGAAAAAAATTCCCTCACTGAAACATAATAGACTAATCACAAGGTGTACTTAGCCTAAACAGCAATTCTGATGAGTTTTGACAAGCTTGGGGCAGTCCGGATTGTACATGCCACTTTCTAACCGCTAGACATATATCAGGGCGCCGGAATAAAGATTTGTCGAAAAAACCCGAAGATGACGACTTCAAACCGAAAATTCCCGATTGAAAATTCCGAAAATTCAAAAAAAAAAAACCGATTGTTTATTGTCTGTACTGTATTTCACTGTATTTCAGCCTGAAAAATTAAATAATGAATAATGAATAATGAAAAAAAGCCTCATCACTTTTAAAAATTCCTTGGACGGTAAACCGGATTTTTCATTCTCATGGCCTTAGTGTAAGCGTGCAACAGTCGCGCCGCGAAAGACGTAGACGTATGATCCGTTTGACGTAGGATTTGGACGAAATTTACAAGAAACTGTCGGCAATAATAGGTGAAAGAGAGTGTAGAAACATTAAGAATTTGGTAGTAAATAGATTTCGTATTTAGTTAGCATTATATTTTAATTTTTATTGAAACGCTTCAAGTGCCTGTGGTCAGTGTCACTGACACAGACACTGACAGTGACTGTGTAGTGTAAAGGCCAAGACACACTGCCAGCGACAGCGACCGACCGTAACGACAAACGACAAAGTCGCAGCGACTGGCGCAGCCACACTGCAGCGACAACGACCGACCCGTAACGACAAAGTTCACCCAGCACTCACCACAGTGCCACCACTCATGAGGCAAACGGCAAAAAACTCCTGCTGCCTTGCCTGCTTTTAAAATAAGGCGTGTTGCTCCTGCACGGTACCGTCGCCGATTTTTTTGGTGGATATATGTTTCTATGCCACCGACTGATCGCGTGATGTCAGTGTACGTCAGTGTGACGTCAGTGCTAGACCAATCACGCACGCAATCCATGTATGCATATAGGGCACATACATAATACATCATTTGAGCGAACCAAAAACGCAGCGGGTAAGGCGCCGAACGATTCTTCTTGAGGTGATGGGTTCGAATCCCATTCTGTTAATTTTTATTTTTCTATTTTTCTATCTTTATCCATTTAACTTTTTTTGTGTTAGTGTTAGTGTTAGTATTAGTGTTAATTAAATTTAATTAGGGTTAGGGTTAGGGTTAGGGTTAGGGTTAGGGTTAGGGTTAGGGTTAGGGTTAGGGATAGGGTTAGGGTTAGGGTTAGGGATAGGGTTAGGGTTAGGGTTAGGGTTAGGGTTAGGGTTAGGGTTTTTGCATCAGGTTATGTGCGTGATGTAGCCATCAGCAGCTAGGCTGTATGCATTCAACTGTACTTCAGAGATAGCCGAGTTCGTGCGTGACTACACTGACGTCACGCGATCAGTCGGTGGCATAGAAACATATATCCACCGATTTTTTTTTCTCAATTAAAGTCACGGTAGTGATGCCAGCGCCATCTATCGCGCGAATAATAACTTACCGGTTGCTTTTGGTACGATATTATATATACGATTTTATACGATATATACGATAACCTAACCCTAACCCTACCTAATCCTAACCCTAACCCTAACCCTAACCTAACCCTAACCCTAACCCTATTAAATTAATAAAATTTATTTTTAATTGTTGTAAAAATTAATTGTTGTTATTAAAATGTTGTAAATAAATCATGTAAATATTTGCGTTAAATTGAAAAAAAATGTTAAGAACAATAAAGATAGAAAAATACAGAAAACAGGAAAATAATTAGAAAACGGATGGATTCGATCCTGCGACCATTCATACTTGGCGCCAGCGCTCTAACCGTGTACACTGCTGCGACATAATTGAAATTGAAATTTGTATGTGCTATTATAATGCGGCAAACAACAAAGCTCAACCAATCAGGGTCAGTACCGTCAGTACCGTGACTTTAAGAAAAAACATCGGCGACGTACCGTTGCAGGAGCAACAGCCTTTAAATAAATTGCTGTAAAAACGCTATGTATAACGAGAATATAATAAAGTCATATATACGCAGGCCAGCATATTAATTATTATACGAACGTAAACAATAATCATGGCGTGGCTTGCACGTTTTGGTTAGATGGGTTCGCGGCCCACTGTTTCTGACAGGCGGTGCGAGTTTAGCGGCTGGAACCAGTTCTACTTACTGGCTAGCTCTAGTACTATAGCCCGCGGATTGCTGGCCGCAGGGCTATAAGCACATGAGCGCATAGCTGTAATCTAAGCAAATGTCGGACTGGTCTTAACAAAAATTTATCCCAAACGCAAAATGATCGGGCTTTTTAACAACTTTATCTATCAACATGGACATCTCACCTATCTTTTGAACACTTCCACAACTTTACACCAGTATTTATGCTGTTATTCTCAAAGTCAGCACTTATCGAATATTATATTCAAATCATGTGGCGTGCGCACGGCGTATTGTCACCGGATATGTTGCAAAACGCAAGGCAGCGGTGCGTGAAAGGGTGCATGTATTATTAACGGCGGGGTGTTCCTGCTTGTGCTCCGATTGTGCGCACATTGGCCGCATCAGGGCGAGTTTATCCACCACCCCCGTTAATAATACATGCACCCTTTCACGCACCGCTGCCCTTGCGTTTTGCCAACATATCCGGTGACATTACGCGTGCGCGGCGCCACATGATTTGAATGTAAATTCGATAAGTGCTTACTTTGATGAATAACAGCATAAATACCTGGTGTAAAGTTGCTGAAAGTGTTCAAAAGATAGTGAGATGTCCATGTGATAGATAAGCTGTTAAAAAGCCCGATCATTTTTGGGTTTTGGGGATAAATTTTTGTTAAGACCAGTCCGACCATTGCTTAGATTACAGCTATGCGCTCATGTGCTATAGCCCTGCGGCAGCAATCCGCGGGCTATAGTACATAGAGCTACTTCCTGGCCTAGCATTGTTTATAATTTTATGACGTAATGGCGATTGTCACGTGCCGATGGAACGGCTGTGATTGGCCATTTGTAAAGTGTCGCCGCGAAAGTCGCTGGGAAATAGAAACGTTTCTAAATTATTTTGTCGTCGAGGTTGTCGCGGTCGTCGTCGCGTCAGTGTGCAATGGCTCATAGGAAACAATAGTTTCTAATTTTCTGAAAGTCGTTTGTCGTTACGGTCGGTCGTTGTCGCTGCAGTGTGGCTTGCCTTAACACGACTTAGGTTACACTCACATTACCAAATATACAATTACCGCCAGTGTTGCTGCCTTTTGTCTGAATTATAGGCGCGCAATGGGCGTTGGATTAATGTCCAAAGAATGGAGAATCGTGTCGTACGTTTTAGGCTGTATCTCCGGATTGCGGGTGTTTACGAGAAAACGATTTCGTACGATGATGGGCGAATGTACTGTGTCCGATTTGAGCTCAAGTTGGATGAGTTACGCGTAGTAAATCGTAGGTATTATAAGGCTAGTAAATGACGAATTTCCCTTGTTTATTGATGTCACACTCCTCCCTATTATCTACTCCTGGTACATATTATACGCCATTATACGACAACGACCTTTCGTACGACAGTGACAGTACCGCCAAAAGAAGAGAAATTTCGGGGCTCTCCTATTTCTAACCTAAGGCTGATAGGTAGGTCCTAATTAGCTCTAGTAACTATAGCTAGTGAGCGGGCGCCGGAACCGCGCGAGCGTGCCCAACGAGAAATGGCGGTTACAAGTTGATAAAGAATCTTCGTCGACGAGTAATATCGCAAGTACAATATTTAAGCGATAGTTTGCTGTTTAATTTTAGTGTTTATAGTAACTTAAAACATTTGTCCGGCAGAGAATGTGTTTTATTTGGTATACCGAAGAAGTTATTATAGGCTAAAAGTTGTCAGAAAAAACTCATACGAAATGGCCATGTTACGGTCTATAGCCCTGCGGCAACTGTACGCGGGCTATAGTTACTAGAGCTAGGTCCTAATGAAAAAAGATCAAAGATAAAGATAAATGAGAGCTCTCATATGTGACTTTTATACACACTACGGTAGGCGCAGAATGGGGTTGCTATTTATCGAACCCCGACCAACCAGTTGCAAGTGCCTGTGCTTTCAAGTAATTCTACCTCAGGCTCAGCCAGGAAATGTGGCCTGAGTACGTAGGCGGCTAGGCCTACCTTGCGAAAACACTACTAATACTACTACTAGTTCTAGTAGTAGTACCGTAGCACTACTCTAATCAATCAACTATGTCTATTCAGATACGTTTGTGAATAACAAAGCTTAAAGGAAATACATCTTCAAGTAAGCATGCCTGCAATTGAAGAAGTGGAGGAAACATCTGCAGATAATGAGGTGGGAACCCTGAAAAAGGAGGAGAATATGGATGAGGCAGGAGATCGGAATCACATATCACCATCTCCAGAAAAGATTGATGACCTGTCAGAGACGAATAAAGATGGTAAAAATTAGCAGGGGAATATAAGGGATTGGGATGAAGTCAGTATTATCATCTCGTGTGAGACTGTGAGTACAACTCAGTTTGGTAAATTATCGCATAATAGGTAATGGTATTTCAATTATTCATTTAAATCATCTCCGTTGCCTCGATGCCAAATTTGGATACTGCAACGTACTACAACAGAAACAGAAATCATGTAACAAAAGTTACAGAAACTAAAACAATGTAACAAAAGCTAGATGGGGTTTGTATGCATTTTTCATGTGCTTGCCAAAATGTCAATTTTGTGGTTGGACATGTAGATAAGTAGTTTGTAAACTTGGACAGGTAGATAATTCGTTTGTAAGCTTGGACAGGTAGATAAGTTGTTTGTAAGCTTGGACAGGTAGATAAGTAGTTTGTAACAGTAAATGGATTTGCTTCTCAGTGCGTATTATTTCTTATACTATAGTCTTGCTACTATTCTTGTTTGATTAGGGGACAATAATCAACATCATCCTACAGAAAAAGAAGACAGTGAAATGGATGAGGATGGTTATGTAGACATACTGGGAAGTGGTGACCTGATGAAAAAGGTATTTTGTTAATGTTTTATGATTATTATTTTTATACAGATTCATTGGAGATGCCTTTATTTTTAGCTCATCTGAATCGCATGAATGTCCGTGCGTCCGTTTGTGCGTCAACAGTTTGGCACAAATCTTAACCGCTCGACGTACGGTCACGATATTCGGGACGTTGGGGCGGGGGGGGGGGTCGTGAAAAGGACTCAGGATGACAAAGTTAGGGGTTGGTCAAGGGTCAAAGGTCAAGATGTGTAAACGGAGGGGAATATTTCCCCCTTAACTTAAGGTATAGGAGGAAATACGGAATTGCGGCAAAATCTGAACGGCTCGACCTATGCTCTTAATATTCGGTGTATACTGTGGTGGGCAGGAAACCCATCACCAGTGCGAAATTGGTGGTCACAGGTCAAAGGACAGTGGGGAAAGGTCAGATATCAGACTTTTCTGAGAACATGGCCTAATGGACAGAGTGAAAAACTTTTTATTTCAGTGCTGACCTACCATTTTTATCAGTTTGTTGAAAGGACCATGAAAAGTGCTTTCCACTGACGTGCGAAGAGTAAGTGTCTGATAACCTTTGACCTCAAGAGGAGGGTTAACATGGATTCCTGAACTTCCTCAATGACGTCACAGTGTTGTCATATTCATGGCACATCCATAATCTAGAAACCCAATAAGCACTGGATAGCCGAACGCAGTCAGAGGCACGGGCGTCACGGCGCTGATAGGGCGTTGGATCGAATTCCATCTGATTTTTTTATTATTTACCTGTTTTCTGTATTTTCTATCTTTATCATTTAATTATTCTTTCCAATTAATGCAAATGTTTACATGATTATTTACAACATTTAATAACAACAAATAATTTTTACAACAATTAGTTTTTTTTTTTTAATAGGGTTAGGGTCACAATGCAACCATAAAACAGGAGTTTCAGGCATGCGATATTGTATCAACCAATGGGATTTGGGAGGTATGCAGATATAGAAAGCTCGTGAGCTTGTGTAACAGGCTCGTGTGATCATAATAGTGTGTCCAGGTTGTTGTACAACAGATACGTGTGCTATTGCACTTAAAGCTCACAATGCGGCATCGCAAACGCTAATTTCTCAGTCTAGACTAGCAAATACTGTCGTGTCATGCATAATCATACTACCTTAGGCAAAATAAACCTAGTTCCTCCCATTTCACTGCGCGTTTGTCTTATAAAAGGTATTTTGAAAAATACCTCCCAATGTTGTTGAAAATTCTCCGATGTTGTTGACAGTTTCCCGCAATCCCCAAGCAACCGTGCAGCGGTGCTGCGGTACACGCGTACGGTCGGCAGCAAAGATAAAAACATGTGAGCTCACGTCACCACTTCGAGGCTATTTTGTTTGGCAAACAGTCAGCGTTTGCGCCAGAATGCCAGTTTTTTCACGTCTTTTTTTGTGGTTTTAAGCAAACCGCGCAGTGAAATGGGAGCAAACTAGAGTTTATTTTGTCATAAGGTAGTGTGATTATTAGTGATGTCACGATCATCGATTATACTCGATCATCGGTTGAACAGTGCTCGAACCAAGCGCTTGTTATTCAAAATCCATAATCGATTTAATCAAAAAAACAAATTTTTTTAAATTTGAACAAGAAAAACTTGGAAAAGTGATGAGAATCAGTACATGTATTATACACACAGTAGTAAACAGTGCAAAAAAACATAAACAGGGCTAAACAAGCACATACATGCACACACGTCATGCACACGACGTTACGCCACGCAGGCAATGCAACACACCGGTTAACGATTGTAACCGATCATCGGTTACTGTGGTGCCAACCGATGATCGATTACGAAATTACAACCGATTGACACACTAGTGATTAATGCATGACACGAAGTATTTGCTAGTCTAGTACTGGAGAAATTTGCTTTTGATGCGCATTGTGAGCCTTTAAGCCACAAGACAGTATATATGCTATAACCACAGAATTACTACGGTTTACTCTATTCTTTAATGAACAACATCATATGATAACAATTACATACAATACTAGGTGGTGCGCAAGCCAACCAGTAAATACACGATACAATACATACAATACATATCTTATACACCAGGCACATACAGACAAGCGACTGGTTCACAAATGCCAGTACATATTTACGAGCGTTGGAGTTCTGCAGGTCGCGAGGCAGCAGGCAGGTCCAGTCAGTGATCTCTCCGACGGTGACGGTAGCGTGGTGATGCCGCAGTAGGTGAGATCAGCAGAACCTGGTGCTGACAGCGTCGGGAGCTGTCAGGCACCGTGGAACGCGTGTCTGTCTTCTTGTCGAAACTGTTCGGTATTTATACAACTTGGAGGAATGCATGGCCTGAGCGTGGTCCAGGCCTTGTTGACGATGGTGGTGCAAGACGTGTTGTCATCTTCACATTTTATGGGTGACTGAAAGGTGAGAAGCTGTGGACGCTTCTTGAGTCTGGGTGTGGGAATCGCGGCAGGTCGATTCATGTTCTTCATATTTCCCATAGTTCACATTTGTCGGCGGCGTTCGTTGTTTGATCTTCATCAGTCGCGCATGTGACATCAAGCTGTGAATGTGTTTTCTCTTGGCCTTTGTGTAGGTGCTAAAGTGTCACTCTGCGTCGTGGGTGATAACTTTACTCGTGTTCCAGTGACTTAGTTTCTTGGATATTCGTGGTGCAACTTTCACCTGTTACCTTGACTGACATTTGTCGACTAAAATAACCATGACGTGATGTTGCTTAAGTTAAACGACCCGTGTCGCTGGGTTTTTATACTAGGTTAATTAATTCGATATCTACGTTACTACACAGAATGCAGAAAGTTGCTGTAATGATGTGTACGCAACTGCGTATCTGCATATCTGCGCCTAACAAAGGTGTCACTACGCACGACTTAAATGTTACGTTTATAACCGTAACAACAGACCTCAGATGAGCCGCAGACGCTCTGCGGCTCTTGTTTGTAATTATGAGATAAAACAAATATATATGCTAGACATGCAGCACTATTTGTAATGAACTGGCTCTATAATAATCAACCTGCAAATTTTTATTTTAGCTTATGTGATGGGGTGATGGGTTTATTGGTTATTGGTACCATTGCAGATTGTAAAACCAGGCTGTGGCAATGGAAACCACGGCCAGAAAGAGGGTCTCTAGTGAAGCTTCGTATTCTGGAAAGCTTGATGATGGAATGAAGTAGACACTTGTGAATGCAAAGAGTTCGTACTTGGGGATGGTGATATGAATACATGGTAGGAAATTTTATATGGATTTGTATTATGCCATTCATCCATGATAGTTATGTGATTTACTTGTTGCCGTAACTAGTGATTCCCCGATAATCGACTATAATCGAAGAGTTGGTCATCTGCACCACCGATTATAAAAATCGATCATGAAAATAAATAACTGATTACCAAAGTTAACTATTGGGGTAAGAACAAGTTGGTTTGTTTGTTGATTGGATGGTTTTGTTAGTAAGTAGGTTACTTTCTTAATTCCTCCCGCTTCCGTTTACTTACCTACCTACCTACCTAACTACGCTACCCACCTGGCACCTACCTATCTACCTATCTACCTACCCATCTCAGTGCTCGAAATAAGAAAAAAAATGTGGTTGTCCTGCGGACAACCCAGGCATCAAATCGGGTTGTCCGCAACAATTTTCTGGTTGTCCCAAAAAAATAATCGCGCCAAATCAATCACGCACATAATAATATGGTCAGAAAACACACAAAACACTGGTGTAGCCAGGATTTTTTAACAAGGGGGCCAAAAAACAGCGAACTGCGCAAAATAGTGGATGACTTAATTATTTTAATGGCTCCTCCGCCTCCCTCTCCACACCCTACGGCTCCTCTACCTTCTCTGCAATCTTTGTTTTGGGTGCCATGGCGAAAAGGCGACATTTTTGTTCATTGTTCTCTGCTCCCAAGATATGCAATGGTTCAGTGGCAGATCTAGGATCCAAGGAGGGTGTGAAAAACAAGCGGGGGGGGTATGGGGGTCCTCCCCAGAAAATTTTGAAAATGTAGAGTTGCAGGAGATGGTATTTGCGGCACTTTTGAGTACATGTTCTGCTTCATTCTGACTACGACAATTCTCTTTTTTTTAACTTTCGGATCAACATGAATCCCCACTGTTGTTTGTTTTTGCATGGGCAAAGCATCGAAAATTCAAAATAATAATGGAATAAAATACAAATGTAGGGGTGAAGCTTGCCTGGTTTGCTGGTTTCCAAATCGAGTTCACCTCTCATAAATCAGAAACCTGACATAATACCAGTGTTGGAAATAGCAGGCTGGTATGCGTCGCTTTCCGCACACCATAGATTAATGGCAGGCGCCAGGCTATAAGTGTCTCTTCGAGAACCCCTGAGAAAACATAAATAAAGTGTGTTTTTCGTCACATTTTTCTTGTTGTCCACCGGACAATGTCTCAGACTGGTTAGGCTTGTTCCGGCGCAAATTCTGTTGTCTCGGACAACCGACAACGCTTATTTCGAGCACTGCATCTAACCTACCTACCTACCTACCTACCTACCTAACTACTTACCCACATACCTACCTACCTACCTACCTATACCTACCTACCTACCTACCTACATACCTACTTACTGACATATGAACAATCAACCTACCTACCCTATCCCATCCACCCACTCACTCACTAACTCACTCACTCAATAATTCATTCACTTACATAGTTTGCTTGCTTGCTTGCTTGTAAAATGTAAACAACGCATCATGTCCATTCATTCAAAATTTACCTGAACATGCATAAATGTCACGAACAATGTCACCAGGGTTTGGACTCGTGCACAGAAAAAGGAAACTTTTTTTTTAAACCTTATAATGAAGTAGCATTCAGAAAATAATGGTCTTTTTCTTGATGCTTTCCCCAGTGTAAACATTGGAACTCAATGCAACTTTTGTATTGAGTCTACCTGATCAATATATTTTTGCACAAAATACTTGCATAGAACACTACTTTGATTAGATACATTGATGTATATTGAGGAAAGCAGCTTTGAGCATGTCTTTTTTCTGTGCAGGTTTAGAAATGGCAGTGACATTAATGGAGCTTGAAGAAACATGTGAGCTCAAAATAAATGCTCGATTTGCCTATGGCGAGCGTGGACGGTATGTATTGTTAATTGATACACAAATATATTGAGTAAGTTCACTGCATACATCGGTGTTACTTCGTTCTATCTTTACAGTTGACCTTTGTTTCCTACTTATGAGAGGTAATGCGTCAAGGCAAAAAATATAAAATGAATTTATTTTAAATCAAAGAAATGAAAGTATCATTTCCACACGTATTTTAAGCTGCATAAAAAGTGGATACTGGCATTTGCATGCCAGCAGTCTCATAATACCTGCTGTAACAATGGCAGTTTGAAATCACAGTTGAATGTCGCTATGAATTGCTACATGATAATGTACATTTTGCCCAATGTTCATTAAACAAACAATTTGTTTTGCATTGAGAACACATCAACAATAAATACATAGGTAAGGTAGAGTATTTTGCCCTTAGTTCATTATGAATGCAGGTCTATGTTTAATATACTTTACTATCTTTATTTTTGCAGGCTGCCAGACATCCCATCCAATGCTACCGTTACATATCAGCTATCCCTCTTAGGCATATATGATGCACCAGACTTGGACAGTCTACTCCTATCTGATCGCATCGCTATGGGGTGAGTACATTTAATTTACGTAGATTTAACAAGTTTCCAATCAAAGTTCATTTAATTAATTTTGTTATGGTTGTTCATGGGTTTTCAGAGACAGTAAAAGAGAACGAGGAAACTACCTGTACTCTAGAGAAGAATACAGCGACGCAATCAACTCGTACTCAAAGTATGTAAGAAGTGGTAAATGACTTGTTGCATTAATTTGATCAATTGTGTCATTTAACATACTTTAAAGTTTGGGGTTCTACCTCCAGTACTGCTAAATTCTATAAACACATTTTTAATTGCATTCTTATTGCATTATGAGTTTATATTAAATGTAAGAATCTCAATCATTCACTATTTGATGTATGTTATAGTTGGTGTGCCATATATGTTATATGTATAATATTAGTTGTGTGTGTTTTGTAGAGCCTTGAAAGTATTGGATGACTCCAACATTCGTCACAGCAAGGAAGAGTCGACAACTTCTCTCCAGGAGCTGCAAGACTTGCGATTAAAGTGCTTCAACAATCTCGCAGCTGCACAGCTCAAGGTTATAGCTTTACATTGATTTACAATCTCAAATCCCTCCTTGTTGGACAATGTCTCGTGAATGTTGCGTAATGTTGTATACGATTATCGGCACCGTCTTTATATGGTTGAGTGATTGTAATGGCAGCTATTAATATTTTACTAAACTACGTAACTGTTGCTTGTTGTGGCCAAGCCCATGAGTCATGCTTTACAAATTTGACACAATTTGGGTACAATTGCAAACGATCCAGCTACTTGTTATTGTAATGCTGACACGACAGTAATTAGTTGATAAGATATTTTACATTTTTGTGGTCACACCATGCACTTGTAACCAGGCCTTGCGTGTTACTATTTGTAGATCGACGCTCATACTGCTGCACTGCAGTCGTGCGATAATGTTCTAAAAGTTCAGCCTGACAACGTCAAGGCTCTCTTTAGGAAGGGCAAGGTAGTATTATTATTTCGTTGTAAAGGAAGTACTTAAAGGGTATAGTTAGCTTTCTCTATGGTACCTGTTGGCAGTGATAGCTGCTATTTGTGTGCATTGCAAATTCAAGCTGGTTTTGTTGCACACATTGCAATTTATTGAGCATATTTGGTTAACACTGAGTAGTATCCCTACTGCAGGCAACATATGGCGGCATCCCCTTCTATCAGGGATGGTGCATTTTAAAGTTGCATACATGCAGTTTTTATCTTCTCCCAGGTTCTTGGAGCTACGGGTGAAACGCAGGAAGCCATACTCGTGCTGCGAAAGGCCCTCAAACTAGAACCAGAAATGAAGGTACACAGTAACAAACTATACATTGTTATATCACTTTACTGCCAGCTTTTTAGAAGTTGTTTTGCTTGCTATGTAACTAGGTATAGCGTAGTGTTAGTAGTAGACCTGCAGTAGTAGTAGTGGCGGTAGCCGTGGCCGTGGCGGTGGTTGTTGTTGTAGCAGCAGTATGAGCAGCGGCAGCAGCAGCAATAGTAGTGGCAGCAGCAGCAGCAGCAGCAGTAGTAGTGGTAATAATAGCAGTATCACCAGCAGCAGCGATAGTAGTAGTGATATCGGCAACAGCAGTGGTAGTAGTAGCGGTATGGGCAGCAGCAGCAGCTGTAGTAGTAGTAGCAGTTCTGTGCTTTGGTTTGCCTAATTTGACTATATCTATAATAGTACATTAAGTTACCTTAAATCCTACTGAGTAACTCTTTGGAAACTCCTGCTGCAATGTGTATAGGTTTATTGTTCTCCATTACATAGATCATTCACCAGGAGCTGTCTCGTCTTGTCGGTAAGCATCAGAGAGAAGAGGAGTCAAGTAAGGAGATGTACAGGAGGATGATGGGTGAGATGACAACACTGACAGATAAATCAACCAATTCCAAGAACACTTCAATGGTATGAGAACTATCATGTCAGTTTGTAATTATTGAAAACATTGCTGCTCTAGCAATTGATGTTTTACTGATGTTGTGATATACTTAGTGGCAATTAACAGCATTGTGATAAAAGGGCAGATTTACATTTAAAAATTCAGGCAGACAAGGGTGTGTCATATGCTCTTGCCCAATGTCACTCTCTCCCTCTCTCTCTCTCTCTCTCACACTCTATATATATATATACAGGGTGCGAAATTAACGGGAGTCCGGAGTCAAATACTCCCAGATTTACTGCTGGACTCCCTGATTTGACATATGCAGGAGTCCGTCACTGTCCGTGTGACTCCCTGAAAATTCTGCTATACTAACTAGTTCGTTCCAGAGCACGGCCTCGCGGAATTACCGTATTTTTTCAGCAAATGTCCAAAGAAAATTTGGCAGACGTTGATCATCGATTATACTCGATCATCGGTTGAACAGTGGCTCGAACCAAGCGCTTAGTGATGTCACGATCATCGATTATACTCGATCATCGGTTGAACAGTGGCTCGAACCAAGCGCTTGGTTATCAAAATCCATAATCGATTTAATCAAAAAAACAAATTTTTTTTAAATTTGAACAAGAAAACTTGGAAAAGTGATGAGAATCAGTACATGTATTATACACACAGTAGTAAACAGTGCAAAACAAACAGTAAACAGGGCTAAACAAGCACATACATGCACACACGTACATGCACACGACGTTACGCACACGCAGGCATGCAACACACCGAGTAACCGATTGTAACCGATCATCGGTTACTTGGGTCCAACCGATGATCGATTACGAAATTACAACTGATTGACAACACTAGTGATTATGCATGACACGAAGTATTTGCTAGTCTAGTACTGGAGAAATTAGCGTTTGGATGCGCATTGTGAGCCTTTAAGCCACAGACAGTATATAATGCTATAACCACAGAATTACTACGGTTACTCTATTCTTTAATGAACAACATCATAATGACAATTACATACAATACATAGGTGGCTGCGCAAGCCAACCAGTAAATACGATACAATACATACAATACATATCTTATACACCAGGCACATACAGACAAGCGACTGGTTCACAAATGCAGTACATATTTACGAGCGTGGAGTTCTGCAGGTCGCAGGCAGCAGGCAGGTCCCAGTCAGTGATCTCCGACGGTGACGGTAGCGTGGTGATCCCCAGTAGGTGAGATCAGCGGAACCTGGTGCTGACAGCGTCGGGAGCTGTCAGGCACCGTGGAACCGTGTCTGTCTTCTTGTCGAAACTGTTCGGTATTTATACAACTGGAGGAATGCATGGCCTGAGCGTGGTCCAGGCCTTGTTGACGATGGTGGTGCAAGACGTGTTGTCATCTTCAACATTTTATGGGTGACTGAAGGTGAGAAGCTGTGGACGCTTCTTGAGTCTGGTGTGGGAATCGCGGCAGTCTTGTTTTCGTCTATGATTCTTTCTTAATCCACCAATGATGACACCTTATGACACCACCAATTTACCTGAAAATCGTATGTGTTCTTCAAAAAAGCTCTTTGAATACAACACAGTTTCACACAGTTTTCCCAAACTTTTGCATCTCTGCGGCCAAACTTGATATAGCGGCGGCCGCACCAGGTTGTAACTACGGGACGCTGGGGGCTGTTGGGGATATTAGGTAAGCACAGTAACAGCATTTGTTTCGCTTCCTTATCATCAGGAACATGATGGCAACACAGCTCAAATCAGCTGCTAGCTCGCCGTGAGCACACATTTATTTTTTGCACGCTGGAAACGCAATACACACTGAATACAATTCGATGCCTAATATCCCCAACAGCCCCCAGCGTCCCGTCAGAGACAATAGAACACTAATCCGATAACAAAGTTTGGCCGCGGAGATGCAAAACTTTGGGAAAACTGTGTGAAAACGTGTCGTATTCAAAGAACTTTTTTGAAGAACACATACGATTTTCAGGTAAATTGGTGGTGTCATGTAAGGTGTCATCATTGGTGGATTAAGGGAGAATCATAGACGAAAACAAGGTAGAGTTTGAATATATTTATTCACATATTGATAGAATATTTACAAGTTGAAAACTATGCAAAACGCTGTTAAAACGGTGTCATACTCTTCTCTATTATGTACTCAGAGATGCCAACCACTACGATTTATCTGTATTTTATAGGAATTTCTATTCCTTTGCACCACTACGACCAGTTTGTATCAAACTACGAATTTCACTGTGATCGGAAAAAAATTATTTTTGGTCCGTCAGTCTATAATACGCAGGGGAAAAAATACAGGGGGGCGGCAGGCGATTTCACCCCCGAAATGCCAAAAAGAGCCCCCGAAAACATGATATCGGGGGGGGGGGGGCGACCCCAAAAGAAAAAGTCGCCCTGGAAATCGATTGTCCAGGTCGGTCCCGCGCCTTGCCGCTCTCGCTCGGCGTTGCTGCGCTGCGATGCCTAGGCCTCTGCCGCTAGCGGCAGCCGGTTCCACGGCGCGATAGAATTCATGGTACGGTGTGACTGTCAAGTGTTTACCATTTAAGCATGCATGTGTGTACTGTACTGTATTGCATTCAATCAAGCGCGCACCGCCGCCCGCGCGTATATACGTGTGCGCCTGTGCGCGTGCTTGCGTGTGTGTCTGCGCGCGTGCATGTGTGCGCGTGCGTGCGTGCCTGCGCGCGTGCTTGCGCGTGTGCCTGCGCGCGTGCATGCCTGCATGCGGGCCTGCGTGTGTGCGGGTGTGCCTGCGTAGACCCGTAGGACCAACGACCCGCAGGATTATAGAAGGTAATCCATGGAAAATCCTAATGAAATTCACACGTATATTTCCCTACCGGCACACTCGTGTGTCATTCCCGATTGTAGATTTTTCGTCAATTCCTCGAAAGAGTTTGACTGTCGCTCTCTCATAGTTCAGCAATGCCAACCCTCGATCTACATTTTAGTAGTGATTAGTACCACGCTGAAACGATAGTGCCCCCCTCCCCCGTACTTCAATCAATGCCACCCCTGCCAGCAGGCACGTACGCAGCGTCGATGGATGTGCACAGCCATACACACGTGCCTCGCGGGCCGCTTTCTCAACCCCACTGAGCTTCCAGGGCCCGCGGCCGCAAGAGACTTCGCGTATAAACAATCGATCCTCCTCGCTCGTACGGGCAGACTCTTCCGCTGCGTTCACACGAAGATTTCAGTTCCGTATTTGAGCGTTCACACGCTAAAATATACGCGGCTTATTCAGTACCGTACTTAAATACGCGGCTTACTTAGCGCGGAATCATATTCCGCGCCAACTAAGCCGCGTATATTCGGCACCACGCTGGCCGTGTATTGTCTGTCGTGTGTACGCATTCGAATTGCGAAACTGTAGCGCGCTGACCTAGACTGGTACCCGTTCGCTACACGACGTTAGTGTAGTGTGTGGAACTGTCGACCGGGTACCAGTCCATATTATACCTAGCTAGCTAAGCCTCGAATGTCGTGTATCTCGTGTGAACTCATTTCAGCCGAACTTAAGGGCCGGACACACTAGGCGATGAAATCGGGCGATGAAATCGCCCTGAAATCGCCTAGTGCGTCCACTCAATCGCCGCCGATTTCATCACCCGATTTCATCGCATAGATCAAAACGTTTTGATATTATCGGGCGATTTTGTCGCCCGATTTCATCGCCTAGTGTGTCCGGGGCCGGCGATAACATCGCCCGATTGTACAATTCATCAGCCAATCAGAGTTGTTCAATGATACTGACGTAATAGCGATGTTTCATGTTTAGTATGTCATGTCATGTAATAGCGATGCACGCACTCATGCACGCACGTGTACGTGCACACGCACGCACGCACGTCTACGTGCACATCTATGCACGCACGCACGCGCACGTACGCACGCACGCACACATGCACACACGTGTACCTGCACACGCACGCACGCACGCACGAACGCACGAACGAACGTGTACCTGCACACGCACGCAGGCACGTACGCACGCACGCATGCACGCAGGTGAACGTGCACACGCAGGCAGGCACGTACGCACGCACGCATGCACGCAGGTGAACATGCACACNAGGGGGAAGGGGGCGTAAACCCATCTCCACTCAATACTCGCCATTGGTCATCCACTCTATCCCACTCCACAAACTGACCACAGACAATAATTCCACCCCTCTACTGTCCCTGTAGTCAGCAGTGATAGGGAGAAGCATATTTGGTAAGGAATTCGCGACTCATCTTACAAGGGGAGGTATAAGAGAGCTCGCGCGGAAGAAACGAGGCTCTCGTGTACTCATCCCTCTGTTAAGTGATTATATGTGTATTGTAAAACCCGTATTCTACCCTGTGTTACTTGTACGAATTTTTTAAGTCTTCAATAGTGAAACGGCAGTTTGTAATCCACATCTTTTCTACTCTTATTTTATTATCGCATTCGTAATTAGTCAAGCAATTACACGGCGCACATATAGCACGCAAGCTACCGCGCACAGTTGTCTGGCAGCAGAATTACACAGCGACTACAATATACTTGCAAGATAATCGGCCCAGAAATAAAAGATAAGTGTTAATGCATGATTGATAGAGGATTAAATAGACGATAAAACATATTGAACTTATTTTGAACCATTTATTTGAATCACATGCGAACTCGCCATTTCACCGTTCGGCATCGCTCATGCTCCGTTAAGGGCCGGACAATTAGACGGCTAGTAAACTAGGCGATTAAATCGGGCGATAAAATCGGGCGATAAAATCGGGCGATGAAATCGCCCTGAAATCGCGTAGTGTTTCCACTTAATCGCCGCCGATTTCATCGCCCGATTTCATCGCATAGATCAAAACGTTTTGATATTATCGGGCGATTTTCATCGGGCGATTTCCCGATTTTATCGCCTAGTGTGTCCGGGGCCGGTGATAACATCGCCCGATTGTACAATTCATCAGCCAATCAGAGTTGTTCAATGATACTGACGTAATAGCGATGTTTCATGTTTAGTATGTCATGTCATGTAAAAGCGATGCACGCACGCACGTACGCATGTGTACGTGCACACGCACGCACACACTCATGCACGCACGTGTACGTGCACACGCACGCATGCACGCACGTGTACGTGCACACGCACGCACGCACGTCTACGTGCACATGCATGCACGCACGCACGCACGTGAACCTGCACACACACGCACGTACGCACGCACGCACGCACGCACGCACGAACGTGTACCTGCACACGCACGCAGGCACGTACGCACGCACGCATGCACGCAGGTGAACGTGCACACGCAGGCAGGCACGTACGCACGCACGCATGCACGCAGGTGAACATGCACACGCACGCACGCACGTGTACGTTCACACGCACGCACGTGTACGTTCACACGCACGCACGCACACACGCACGCACACACGCACGTATGCACGTACGTTTACATACACACGCACGCACGCATGAATGCACGCAGGTGTAAGTGCACACGCACGCACGCACGTCTACGTGCACATGCATGCACGACTTATTCACCGGCGATTTAATCGCCCGATTTAATCGCCTAGTGTGTTCACTCGACTCGCGCGATAGAATCGGGCGATTTTGTCGCCCGATTTTATCGCCCGATTTAATCGCCTAGTGTATCCGGCCCTTTAGCACCAACTAAGTACGGAACCAGCGAGGCTGTGTATACGTGTGAACGCAGCTTATATTTGTGCTAGCCGTAATACAATAGGCACGTTCACACTGGCGGGAATTAGCGGGATGCAAATCTCGGTTTTTTCATCGCGATCGAAATACCAAGATTTTTACAAGTGTGAACGCAAAAATCTCACTAAGTATCGCGATCAGCATCGCGTTACATATCGCACTTTTGACTGCGATTATTTGGAATTAGCGCGATTAATTGCACCGCGGCGTGTGTGTGAACGCTCGCGCAAATAATCCCGGTATTTTCTATCCCATCATTCCAAGCGATCGTATCAACATCCGGCAATGAGCATGCGCAGTTCGATTAATAGAATTATCCCGCTCGGCGATTAAGGCTCAGTCACACATTCAGGATTTTTACTGCCGTCCTTTATGGGACCATTCCCGATTAAAATTTGTCAAAAGTCTGATCAAGATCCTGTGATATCGTGGCGCGAAATACAAACTTTATTAAAAATTTGTAAAAACATTTATTTAATCACGATAACAATCAGATATTGTTCAGGAAGCGTCCCGATTCAGCCGTTTCCGGCCGAATTCGTCCCGATTCTCCAGTTCTCAATCCGATTCTGATCTGATTTGTATATTTCGCATTGTAAAAAACGACCAAATCTGTCCCGACAGCGTCCTGATTCTCCCGAATGCGATCCGACAGAGATCAGACAGTGACCCGACAGTGAACCGACGCTGACGGAAGATATCCGTTAGATCTGGACGCAATCTGGACTCAATCGGCAAGAAACGGCAATGAAAAATTTCTCCAGATCATGCCCGTTCATCACGACAGCGTCCACAGATCACCGTCCAGACACCGTCCAGACAACACAGGACATTGTTACGATTTTGATCCGATACAGCAGAATCTGTCACGACAGTCACGATTGTAATCCGACTAGACAAAATCGGCTGAGTTTCCCGAATGTTACGGGACGCACATAACTGTCGGGAGTGCTTGGCCGACTTCTCCGGACCATTCCCGATCCGTAGGACTCTGTTACGAACGTATACGACTGCGTTCAGACAATGATAGGACATTCCAGATCATTGCGGATAGTAATCCGACTTTTTCACTTTTCGTGTCGTAGCGCTGTCTGATCTCAAACGGGAGCCATAATCGGCACAGTGTGAACGCCGCATTAGCGAGATATTTCCGCCTGTGTGAACAACGACACAATTATCTCGGTATTTCCATCGCGATTAGCATCGCGGTTTTTCTTGTGTGTGAACACGCCTAATGTTTCATGTGCGTGGCAGCGTATGTACTACAATTTAGAACGTGTGCGTGTGTGTGTGTGTAAAATTAATAATCCTCCCCCCCGAACCCCCCCCCCTTGAACTACTAATTTGATGGCCAGAAACTACAGATTGCTTCAAATATATGTTGGCATCTCTGTGTACTCTTGATATATATATATATATATATGTGTGTAATTACTATATCCATTTTGTTGCAGTGGACCAAGGTTGCCATTTCTGTGGGGGCAATCTCGGCAGCAGCACTGAGTGTGGTTGCTTACAAGGTGTTTCATTTGGCATGAACAATGCAAGCACTGGATATATATAGACAGGGAAGAGGTTTTATCCTTTGTACTTCGGACCCATATTAATTGAAGAAATTTAAAGTTATATGCAAATTTGTCCCTTCTAGACAGTATAAAAATTTTATTTATTTGTTAAACATGTAATTACTAATTTCTCCATTATTCGCTTTGGTCAGTGATTGGCTTATTTTCATTATACTTATGCATCAGCCTACAACACCACTTTCTCCTAGCATAATTACTGAAACCTATATTAACCTCTACCATGGAAGGGTCCATGTAAGGTGACCACCACTGTATGACATATACCCTGGGCATCTCCTGAAGGTACAATGACATGTCGTGTAGGTAGATCTACTTGCACGGATCCTTTATTTGTAAATGCATAACTTGTGGAGGCAAGCACGCCCAGTGTGCAGCAGCAGTCATCATGATAAAATATTATTCCCAGGGCTTTTTTTACTGTTGCAAAATGCAACATTCAGATAAAACACTTTAATTCTGTTTAATGAAAGGTGCATGCCATTAGGTAAATTTTATGTTGTCGCCAGTATTTAAAAACCAATGTCAGATATGTTTGCTAATACTGTGCCTATAGGGAATTAAGCATTGAGAAGAATGTCCCTGGAATATGGAGTTCAGATCGGTTTATTATTTTGTCATTGGTTTATCCCCAGTGTGTTACCTGCTAGCTGATCACCTCCACATAACAAATATACTATTTATAACTTTGCCCCATACATTTGGTTTAGCTACTGGTTAGGCTCTAAAGAGGTTAAAGGAAGAATACTTATTTTTACTGTCAGAGTAGCTGTGACTTTGTTCAGGTGTGGTATACCAGCTTGGCTGTGTTTGTAAATTTGTGTGATGTTCGAATTGTTTATTGATATATAGATGCGAATGGTAAAGAATTGACATTTAATGGTACATCATCAAATAGGCATTATCATAGCATGAGTAAGGGCCATTTTAATACGTAGTTGTATTGGTTTAGGAATGTGGTAAATACGTGATGCACTATTCAAATCAGGAGACCACGAAACACCAAATTCTGTGCAGACGGTTGTGTGAATGGTGGTTGTCTTGTCGTGATTGTGTAACCTCGTACTTCTATAGGGTGTAGGGAAAGAGCCGTAGGCGTGAAACATAGCAACAGCGTAAGACAAGAATCAAACACGAACTAGTAAAGTAACGTACCACAAACAGTTGTATTGGTCATAATCTAACAACAAGTAAAGAGCAGAAACGTAAGGCTGGATGTGTATAACTATACGTGAATGACATTCAAACAAATGGAGAGGAAGTGCCTCCTGCTCCTTGTCACGGCGCTCTTAAAATTTATATACCCGAACTTGTTGTTCGACCTCCCTGGTTACGACATGCGCCGGCTGCGGGTTATAATAGATTATCCCGCACACCGGCCCGTCTGTTGACGTTGTTAGCTACCTTATTGCCTCTACTATTACCTTCACGCTGCATCGCGCGCACCGAATATATCATCTATTTCTCCCTGGCTCGTCGCCAACGCGACCCGCACGGCCTCATGCCCAAACTAACAGTAATTAACAGGTGAAACCAGCTCCGTTACAATTGTACCGTTTATGCCGCACATAGTGTTGTACTCATGCGAACCCTTCAATTTTGTTTGATAGCTGTGCTTGTTAAAAAAATATATATTTAGCAGTTAAGCAAAACGTCAGTAAGCGAAAAACGAAAGAGCGAAGATATTAAGGTTCTGCTGTTCTTTAATATCTAGATTTTGGGAGTATGTTCCTAGTGTAATTGTGCGCGGTAATGTCTATGATATTCTAACGATTTTCGTTTTTGATCTTCGACATCTGCAGCATGAATCATGATTTTTGCGTTGAATATTTCCTACTTTCTTCGCATATTTCTTTTTTTAAGTATGTCATAAATGGTGTTATTGCTGTCTCCTTTTTATGTGGTTTAGTACTGCCCGTGCAAAATTACAGAGCAGATATGTGGTCCATTTTGTGTTCAATAAATAAGCACCGTGAATTTGTCATTAGAACTAATAACGTTGTAAATGTACTACGTACTGCGATTTATAGGTGGGACATTGTAGCCATTGAACAACTATGTCGAGGAATACTGAACTAAGATGTGCCTATTTGTGATAGATGATTTTTTTAAATAAATAAACCAATAAATAAGAAAGGTCTTCAAATATCTTTAGTGTACTATGTCGCGTTTTCTCTTCCGCCCGAGTTGTACAGTGACAATGCAACCTAAGACAGGTTGCAGGTTGGGACATATTGGCGTGACCTCGGTAAATTTCTTGTAGGTTTACGAAGCCTTTTTGGTCGGAAATGGTGTCAGCTAGTCTCCTAAAGAAGAAAACAAACGGACCCATAGCTCTCCAAGGTCATCCATTACTCTATATTTATCAGCGTCAGTGGAAAGAAAATTCATCCCGCAGCTCTCTCCCTTTACCAACTCTCTCGTCTCCTTTTTCCCATCCCTACCAGCCTCTCACTTTCCCTCCCCATTGGCATTCATGGGGATGTATAATTACAGCGTTGTAAGATGGTATACCGTCTATAGATGGGTTGAACTCACGGATTGCACTTAGCAAATATGATACAATATGATACCAGGGGCGGATCCAGGGATGAAGCTAGACAGTATTTTTCCAGATTTTAAGGGCACATCCCCCAAAAAGGGCACACCACCCCACAGTGGGCGCCGTTAGATGCGGAAGCACATGTTCAGAAGCAATTTCAAAATTTCAAGGGTCCCTGGGCACAAAAATGAGCACCATTTGAGCACACATTTAGTCAAACAGCAATAGCTAAAAACCATATGGAATTTTTATTTCTGCTTCATTTTGCCTGCGCTTTGCATACCAGCAATTAATGCAGAATGATTCAAGCACTTCCCTTCTTTTTTAGATATCAAGGCTAGTTTTGTTAACCATGTAAAGTTTTGATTTCTTTCTAGTCCTGCCAATGAATCAGAAGAAAAAGAAAACAAATAAAGAATATAGCCAAATTCCATCAAATTGTTTTCTGTATTTTTTAGCGCAAAATTTCGAAGGGCACTTTGAAATCTAGACCGTATTTCCCAATACGGCAAATACGGTCTGAATCCGCCCCTGGATACAATGATGTAACCAAACACGAGAGTATAATTATGATATGTGGAGAGTATATGATATGAAAGATATATGGAGAGTATATGATATGAGAGATATATGGAGAGTATATGATATGAGAGATATATGGAGAGTATATGATATGAGAGATATATGGAGAGTATATGATATGAGAGATATATGGAGAGTATATGATATGAGAGATATATGGAGAGTATATGATATGATATGTGGTATGATATATGATATATGATATGTGGATATATAGAGTATGATATTATATGATATGTGGATATATAGAGTATGATATATGATATGTGGATATATAGAGTATGATATATGATATGTGGATATATAGAGTATGATATATGATATGTGGATATATAGAGTATGATATATGATATGTGGTGGGACTACTGTGTTGGGTTACATCATTGTCTCTAGCCCAGTGATGTTTTCGGTGATATGATCATGTCGCTGCATATGTATTCTGATACTAACGTCAGCATATGCTACTGTAGGGATTACGTCCACATGATTAGACGCAGAGGTGAGAATCCTTCACCGATCCACTTTTTGACGTTATGATGCTACACGCGCCACTTATTCAGATTACTGTAAATTTGTGAAACACGCTCAGAGGCGGGACACAAAGTCCAAAGGGTATAGACTTTGTCACTCCGTAAAAGACCACGATATGAAAATAAAAAACTCGTTATTTTCTGTGTGCTGTAACCATGCATACGGCTGTACTAACGTTATGCGCTCAGTGTGCGCTCGCTGAATATTGTACATTACGAGTGACGACATTTTTGTCAGACTTTCCCGATGTAACGCAAATAATTAGTAATCTGATGACTGATGATTTTCCTGAAGGTGTATACACTAATACCTGGGCAGTAGCTAGCGGCGGGAGGAGTTTCCCTCCAGATAAACATATAGATGCTATTACTTTTCCAATGGGCAATGTCTACTGTCAACTGCTAAGAGCACAAACCGCGGGTGGCTTCCCACTTTCAAACATGAAGACAGAAAAGCTGTAGTCTGAGCAACCTTACACGAGACGTAATTTATAATGAAATGGGTGAGTAAATTGCGAGATGCTTAAAAGAATATGCGTTACACTGTTTTTCAATAGAAAAATAATCAGAGCCGTGTCTAGCAGGAGTAGTGTCTAGCAGGAGCAGTCCCCCCTCGGCCTTGACGCCCAGAACCCCAATCGCGCGTGAATTTGCGGTTCTAGGCCAAATGAGTTAGCCACGGCCCTGATACAAATATTTTTCGTTTAGCATCGTGCACCAATTTTTATAGATCAAAGCAAGAATATCAATGTAGCAAAAATTGTATAGGTGATGAATATCAAGAGTGAATAATAATAGATTATATTATCTATATTATATCTATATCTTATATTATATTATCTATTGTTATTTATTCCTGATAATATGATCTGTGTATGCTACTTCTCATGCGCTACACCGACGCCGAATGGGTCGATGGCAACCATCAAGGTCTTCCATAAGGAAGACATCACGTTTCACATTTTTCATAGAAACCTACTCATATGGGCATCATCCCTCTTTTTAACTATTAGTGCTTCAGATCTAGATGCGCGACGCTAGCACCGACCAACGCCCAACGGCAACGAAAAATATACGCTTTAATTCGGTGTTACGGGGAATCGAGATAACTGATATTGAGAGGTTTTGACTTCGTCTTATTAGCCGCGTTCACACGTAGCAAGAAATTCGATATTTACCGTTCACACAAGGCAACATGCGCACTCCAAGAAATACGGAATCTAAATATATTCGGTATTTGTTTAAATACGCGGCTTCCCAGATGCCGAATTATTTGTCGTGCTTGAGAAATTCCGAATCTCTTGGACCGCGTATTTCTCTCGTGTGAAACGCTCTCGTTTCAGAAGCCGCGTATTTTATAGAATGGTCCGCGCTCGACAGTTCCAGTGTACCGCGAGTGGAACTGTCGAACGCGGACCAGTCTACGTATTTTATCGGCAGTTGGTGCGCATTGTATTGTTTATTTCGCATTGTTCGCTTGATTGTTCGCTTGGAAATACGCAAATACGGCAAATACGGCCGCAAATACGGCATTTCTGGAGCCGCGAATTAGCGCGTGAATGCNAGGTGGTACCAATTGATGAAATTTGGGGGTCTGGCTCATGGACTATAAGTGCGAGGGAAACATTTAACATTTTAGAAACCTACTCCTGGGTATGCTCTCTCTTTGAACTATATAATTTCACTCGAAATTATAATTATTTTAGGAGATATTCGGCATGCGCACAGACACGTCCATCCCTGTGAGACATGGGGGCACGTGTGGATGTTTAGACGATTTATTGCGTTACAGTTAATTAAGGCTCATAGGGTCTATGTCCCCCAGGTTACTGCCCGGAACGTACCCTGGGTACGGTCCGG